ACGATGGCACTTGTCTCTCCCTCCCGCTGTTCGCCGCTATCGTTCGCCGGTCGTTGTTTCGATCATTCCTCTCGCAACGGCGAGATCGGTGAACTCCTTTAACACGAATTACAGCTCGCTCTAACCTACATTGCCCCGAAACTCCCGCCATTTTCCGAGATGAAACGCCGCGAAAAACCGTTGATTTGAAATCTCTTCGCGGTTCTCTTAAGAAACGTTACAATCGCTTGAATAAACTTAAGGTCTACTCGATGACGATTTAAATACATCGTGTTCCATTAGAAATCACATTTTACTATCTCTCGTTACATTCAGTCGCAATGAACACGTGTTGCAGAGTTAAGTTACAAATCGCGGCGAGTATTTCAAATTCTCTATTTTCAGTTACTTATGAATCTTGAATAGAAGTTCAACTATTCCTACGTGTTTGCTTCCGCAAACATCTTTTTAATAAAATATTGACTCACTATCAGATATCTGGATAAAGTAACGATTAGATAGAAAGATCGACGGACGAGTAAACGCGAAATTGTATCGGTCGCTGAGCGTTGCGACTCGAGAGAAGGCTCGCGCCTACGCCAATGCTCGCACGCCGTCCCTGGCGTACGTCAGCTCTCTCGTCGCCGTTCGCGCACTTCTGCCTATGAGACGCACTGCAGGGCCACTGGCAGATGGCTAGGCCTTTTGTGCTTCTATACTTCCCTCGTAATCTCTCTAATTCCCTCTTTCTCTGGTCCGCGGGCGCGGCCTCGCTCGTCTTCGGGGCTCTCTCGCGGGCAGAGTTAAATTTACTAACCCATATGGCGCCCCTCGCGCCACCTCTGCGACCGGTTCCCCTCGTCCCTCCTCGGGAACGTCTCTTCCTTCTGGTCGGCCGCCTTTCGTCGCGTTTCCAGCGCGCGCCGACCGTTCATCCCTTTCTGTTTCCGATCAGATTCCGTTTATCGTTGCGTTCGGGGATCTTCGAGCTGGACGATTGATCGGAGAGACGCGTTTCGGAGTCCTCGTACAATGGTTACTGAAAAACGCGTGTTCTCTGGAAGCTGTCGGGCGAATGGGGTGTTCACCCTTTGAATTTAGCGTAGCAACGTTGCGGTGTAGAATAAACTTTGCGTCATACGTCGATGCAGGAAGCATCGAAGTGAGTTTCCCTCGTTCGACGCGTGAAGTGTTAAATGGCTATTTCGTTAACGCTCCTCCGAGAAACACGCGTCACCAGCGCGCACAGACGCGGTTCGCGGGAGAAGTCTTCCAACAATAACCCTCTGAATCTCTTGAAACGTTCTCCTATCTCCTCTTGTTGCGTTCGGCCATATTGGTATCGGGCAGATATTAGCGTCTATATCAGTCGGGCCGGTTTTCGGACGCGGGAACACGTTCCGGCGAAGGGAGACGGAGGAGGGGCAAAAAGAGACGGCGAAAAAAATGGAAGAAAGAAAGGAACGAAGGAAAAAGAAGTTGCGTTCTCGGAAGAGAGGCTGCGCGCGAGAGGAATCCTGCGAGAGAGAGGCAATCTTTCAGATCCGGCACGGTAGTCTGTC